GCCTGGCTACTGGCCAATCAACATTTTATTTATCAACCAATCAGAGCAACACATATTCACAGCATACAGAACGACATCCCACATAACTTCCCCTTTTCTGTCTAATCAAAAAGGAAGGTTGTAACTTTAACATAGTAAAATTACATATAGCAAAACGGTTATCAAGCAAGAATTACAGTTACAATATTGAGTCTATTTGTATTTGGCAAAAGTAAAGAAAATATTCTATCATCTATCCTATATTTGTGAGTCTAAAGTTTCAGATCTATTTATCTTTTATCATAACCAAGGAAAATTATAACTTCCTAGTTTTCAACTACATTAAAGACCTCAGAAGGATATATTACCTTAATAAACAGGAAGAGCATTGTAAGCAACTTCCAAAATTCTAGAACGACAGAGACAGTTGCCTGCCTGGACAGTCACCCAAATTTTCTCTGAAATATTGGGGCATCCATCTTCAGCCAATAGGCCTAGAATTTTTTAGTCAGTTCCCCCTGTGTCCTGTAGAATATTTGGCAGGAACCTGAAGAACCAGCTCATCTTGCAGATTTCAGTGGTCACCTTCCTATGGGTCCTGCATGTCTACTTTATACAACATACTGTCAAGCAGTCAATGCAAGCACACTTTTTTACCCAGTGGCTAACTTTTGCCACAAAGAAAGCAAACCCATAATGAGCTTCTTCAATGTCTCTGAAGTAGAATGGTGCTGCCAGAAGCAGGCATGTCTCAATGTCCAGAGTCAAAGTTCTTAAAACATTTTAAATGCCATATTCTGTAGGTCTTTGAAGTGTTTGAAGATCACCTACCTAATTGAAATACATCTTCATATACCTAAAGAACTTAACTAACATGACTATAAATTTGATTATCATGGATGACTAATTATTAATCTGTATTTCTTAATTATACATTACAATTACATTACACATTACATTACAATTTCAAATGAGCTGTACAAACATTAACCTTAAACAAGAGTAGAGATACACATACAATATAACAAAATTAACTTTAAATTTGTATCAATAAACTAAAATCCCTAGCAATGTAAAACATTTTAAACAAGTTGTTACTCTTTATCCTATCATTTCTATAATATCCCCTTTTCTTCTTTAGAAAGAGATTGCATTTATAATCAACCCCATTAAATAAAAATAAACATTTATAAAGAATATTTTGGGAATTTAGGCATAGCTTCTCACACTACTTCCTGCTGGTTGTGGGCACTGGTAATCTTATGGGGATCCTGAGAAAACTAAGAATTATGGTCAAGTCCTGACTGGAGTAGTCTGTGATGCTGCATTATCTAAGTCAGTTGCCTTGAAGCTGATTTTGCATGTTGGATCACCTGGAGACCTCTCAGGTGTTCTTCCTTGATCAAACTATACTAGCTTGGAAGCAATCCATCAGTTCTCATCTTCTGTGGAAAAAGGAGCACAACCTCTTTTCCAAAACAACGTATCCTTAAACACAAATTGTGAAGTCAAGAGAGTTTAAAAAATATATATATATATTTTAATTTAATTTAATTTAGCAGCCTTTACAATCAAATGTCTTTCTGCAGTTAAAAATCCCAAAGACAACACAATCCAGAAACTCTGTGTAATATCCATCTTTATGTGGCTTATTTTTATATTACCTTTACTGTCTCTTTAAAGACTTTATTTTTTAAAACTATTTCTTTATATAACTGTCTATAGTCATTTTCTTCTCTCTTCCAAGCCTACGTACATTTTTACACACACTGTAAACTGTTTAAAGTCTCATTCCAACTGAATCTGCCTTATTGTGAATCTGTTGTTTTAAACTGCAGTGGCTAGTACTGAAGCAGAAGCCTTGGCTGCTGACTCTGCCCCTTTCAGCTTCCCAATATGGTGGTGGTACATTTACCACCAGCTCTGGGAGCCATGTGCACACTAACTCTTGGAAGCAGTGTGTCTATTCCTCCATCAAAGCAGTGTGTATTCCAGAAACCATTTTTTGTCTGTACTAGCAAAAGCTATATCCACTATGCACCATGCTGCTGTGCAGCTTGGAGACGCCTCTGTGTACAGTGGCAGGAATCCACAATGCTGTACTCAAGCCCACATGCCACCGCAAATATGCCGTACTGTAGCTCATGGCTCACATGAGAGACAAAACTAGAAAGCTGATTTTTGCTCCTTTTTAGAATTTTCTTTTTAAAACTTTCTGTGGTTTTAGGTGGAAAATCTTGCTCTACATTTGGCAGCCAAATGTAGTTGGAAGTTTTCCTGTGTCCCAGCTGGCCAGCAGTCAAGACAAATCTCTCCCACTCATGCCTCCCAAGTAAATACACAGAGGTTTATATTAATTATAACTGCTTGGCTTATTACTGACTAGCTCTTACACTTAAATTAAACCATATTTTTTAATATGTTTAGCCATGTGGCTTGGTGCCTTTTCTCAGTTCTGCCTTGTCATCTTTCTTCTTCCTCTGTGTCTGGCTGGTGAATCTTGACTCTGTCCTTCCTCTTTCCAGACTTCTCTTCATCTGCTTGCCCACCTATACTTCCTTCTTAGCTGCTAGCCAATCAGAGTTTTATTTATCAACCAATCAGAGCAACACATAATCACAGCATACAAAACAACATCCCACCACAAATATCTGGTGATTTAGGGTCAGCATTGAGAAAGATGTGCAAAGGATGTATTCCTTGCATAGTTTATCCTGTTGGTATGCTGAAGCCTAATCATACCTTCTGAAATATACTGAATGCCCAACTTCATTGCTGGGAGACATGCCTTACTGTGTATAGGCTTACACAGTGTGTGTTGGGAACATAGCAGCTGTTTGAAATTTAACATTCCTCATGTTATTGAAAGTTCTGGCTACTGTGTTCCTTATTGTCTTAAAACAAAACATATCTCCTGTGATTTATCTAATGATAATTATATGATATGATGAACTACAAACTTTATCACTTCTGGACACTCAATAACCACTTATGTCTTCCAGGTATTATAGAGGTTAATGGAGAATAGTGATTGGTGGTATTTTAACTAGGGTTTTCTGAGCCCATCTTGGACATACTCCTCTAGTCCAAGAAGAGTGGAGTGCAGTGTTAAAGGTGCAGTATTATGGGAACTTTATCTGGAGTAACATGAACAAACCATGTAATACATTACATAAGGCACCATTGAAAAAAATACAATGCCACCCAAGTATGATGTGGTGAACCAGTGAATTTAATTTTGATTACTAAACCAAAGCATTGGTAAGTGGCTCCTTAATGAAGTTGGGGAAATTTTATATAGCTATACCACCAAACAAAACCTGTACCTCTTTCTCTTTCCTCTTTCTTCTTTAGCAAGGAATAATACCAGTATGGGGCAAAGTATTGCAAAACCCGTCCATCATCTATAATAAATTTTATGACTAGTCCTGCGAAAAACATAGGAGGACATTGCAGCCACTGTAATTGAAATAGAGAAACCCTATCTTTATTTCATGTCATCCTCAGAGGTTAGATTACCAAGACATGTAGGCATCCCCAGTACTTGTAGATATTATGCCCCTGGGATAAAAAAAAAGCCAGTCACCAAAGTTTAATTGGGAAATGGAAAATTCATCTTCCAAGCAGAATAATAAAGCCAAAGGTGTCTACATTCTTATGCCCAGAACCTGAACTTATTACCTCTGGTACCAGATAGTACTTAAGTTAAGGATCTTGGAGGAGTGTAGCACGAATCTTAGAAGGTCTTATTAATAAAAACAAACCCAGAGACAACTATTGGGGTGAATGCTGAAAGATCAGAGAAACAGAACAAGCCACAGTCAACCTCACCTCACTAATTCCTCAGCTGGTCTTGTTTTCTCAGACTGAAAAGCCTCTGAGTACTCATCTGAATGGATCTCAGCTGAACTGCTGCTAAAAGCCTAAAAGCTTAGCAAGTCTCTATCTAGTTCCTGGTCCTCACACCTTATATACCTTTCTGATTCCTGCCATCACTTCCTGGGATTAAAGGTGTGTGTCACCATGACTGGCTGTTTCCAGTGTGACTGAACTCTCAGAGACCCGGATGGATCTCTGCCTCCACAATGTTAGGATTAAAGGTGTGTATGCCGTCATTTTCTAGCCTCTATGTCTTTCTAGTGGCTGTTCTGTTCTCTGAACCCAGATAACAGTTATTAGGGTGCACAATATATTGGGGGGACACAATATCACCACATTTCCCCTTTTTGTCTAAATAATAAAGGAAGCTTATAAATAATAAAACAAAGTATATACAATATATACAGTAAAGAACTACATTAACAATGTCCAGTTCATTAACATTTGACAATTTCAGACAAAAAAAATGTCATTACTTATCTTATTTAAAACAAGTAGTTCCTTTTTGTAATTGATTCAATAATCTACCTTTTTATCTTATCAGAGGAGGACTTAAGCCTGATGGTCTCAACATAAGAGTAACATTTTGAGAATGCAAACAAGTAGGAAAAGGGTGAATCTCACAGAAACAAGTACGAGGGAACAGAATTGGAAAATGCTGGTCTTGGCTGCAGTGAATCAGGACAATGTGACTAAAGTTGTGGAAGACCATTGGAGCTTAGAGAGCAAAGAGAGCAGAGTCTGACCTGAGCCCTTAAGAAATATTTGACTTGAGTCTATGGACCCACCTTGAGATTATGGCCTCCCATTGTAATATCATAAATGAATCTTTTCTTAGACCAGTGTGCTGATTTTGACTAATACTACTTTTGCATACTTGGGGTCTGCAATTGTTTCTCCTTGTGAAATGACATTCTGTGACAATTGAATGCTTGTTTTTTTTTTGGCTTGGAAAACACACAGAACAGGCAGAAAGCTGTGAGGAATAGAGAAAAAAAACATTTTTTTTCTAAAGACTTTTCAGAAGCCCGAGTACTTGGCAAAACTCCTGCACTGAGGAACAAAGAGAAGTTCCCCTTCTGGTGAACTGGTGATAGTGCTGATGTGGCAAACCCATGACAGGAAGGACCTGCCCTCAGACTGAAAACAGCCTGTCTGATGGTTCTACAGAACATGATCAGGCTGCTCCAGGAGCACAAGCAAGAAAAATACCAAGACTCACCATGGTCCCCATGCTCAGAATGCTGCTGTGCCTTGGTAAGATATGAAGAGGGAGAGTGGACACTCAAGTCTGTAAGGAACCCTACTCCAAGCCAGGTCTTACTGAATCTGGAGACCTCAAGATATTGACCCTGTCTCTCAGATGGGAAAAATCTCTCAGACTGAATTTTCTTTCAGGACTGAGTGTGGGACAGATGACTGCAGTCCTGGCAGGTGAGTGTCTCCATCCGTCCCAAGACTTTATTCTTCACTCTGAATACCAGACCTTATTTTTGTTCTCCTGTTGGTCATCCCTTCAAAATACAGAGTGAGAAAAGTCTTTGGATAATGTTGTGATGCCCATTAAGTGCTCTATGCTAAGGCTTGGTGTCTGAGGGAGGATTGTATGGGACTCAGCCTTTGGTTTCCTTGCAGGAACACTCCCAAAGCCCAAAATCTGGGCTGAGCCACAGTCTGTGATTGCCATATATGCACCTTGTACTATTTGGTGTCAGGGTTCCCAGGAGGCCAAGGAATACCATATGCATAAAGAGGGAAGCTCAGATCCTTGGGACCGACAATTCCCTCTGGAAAGCTTGGACAAGGCTAAATTCTGTATTGATCACATGACACGGGACTTTGCAGGGATATATAAGTGTTACTATAAGAGCCCTGCTGGCTGGTCAGAGCACAGTGACACCCTGGAACTGGTGCTAACAGGTGAGTGGAGACTCAGGGTTCCCACTACAGGCTTTCCCCTCAGAAGGAGTTCTACTCTCCAGGGTACTTTTCTCAGAGCCCAAGTCTGCAGGACAGTGTGGGTAGCTTAAGTTCATTTCACACACTTCCCCTTGTATCCTAGAAGCTTATGATAAACCAAGCCTGTCTGTCTGGCCCAGCCCTGCTGTGACCTCAGGAGAGACCATAACCATGCAGTGTAGTGCATCACTGGGATTTGGCAGATTCATTCTGATCCAGGAAGGAAAGCACCACCTCCGATGGAACCTGGACTCACAGCAAAATGCCAATTTGGAATTCCAGGCTCATTTTGTTCTGGACCCCGTGACTACCATCCACAATGGTACATTCAGATGCTATGGCTATTATAGGAACCATCCCCAGGTGTGGTCAATATCAAGTGACCCCCTTCACCTCTTGGTCTCAGGTAAGGACCCCTGATCCATCCTTTCTTAGTGTATAGTGTCACCCAGGGATCTGCTCTGAGAAGAGTTCTAACCTAGAAGTAGAACAAGGAAACTCTACAGTCCCAAATACTTTCACACCTCATAGAGAACCAGCCTTAAGCATCCCCTGATGCAACTTCTCCCCTCAGTAACTCATTGAAATTTAGCAGAAGCAGGAAGGCTTGAGGATAGACAGTATATGGAGTGATCAGACATTGTCTCTGTACTGCTTAAGTTTTTATTTTTGTGATTAAACATCATAATTTAAAGTAACATGTGGGCCGGGCGGTGGTGGCGCACGCCTTAAATCCCAGCACTCGGGAGGCAGAGCCAGGCGGATCTCTGTGAGTTCGAGGCCAGCCTGGTCTCCAAAGCGAGTTCCAGGAAAGGCGCAAAGCTACACAGAGAAACCCTGTCTCGAAAAACCAAAAAAAAAAAAAAAAAAAAAAAAAGTTAAAAAAAAAGTAAAAAAAAAAAATAAATAAATAAAGTAACATGTGGAAGGAAGATTTTATTTCTTCTTATAGTTTATAGTCCATCATGAATGTAATTAGAGGTAGGCACCCAAGGTAGGTACTGAAACAGAGGCCATAGAGTAAGTAGCATGGCTTACAGACTTACTCTCCAGTGGTTTTCTCAGACTAATTTCTTATATCATCAAGGTCCAACTACCCAGAGTTAGAACCACCGACAGTGGGCTTGGCTATCCCAATTCCACATCAACTATCAGGCAATCAATAAAATTTCTCCCCAGACTTGCCTACACGCCAATATGATGGAGGCATATTTCCAAGTTAAGTTGCCTCTTCCCAGATGACTCTAGCTTGTATTAAGTTAGCAAAACCTAATGAGAACAGTCTCCAATGGCATCCTCTGTCCTTCATTTTCTGTTTATCTTTATTTCTACAAATAAAGGGCACAGTCTCATGATAACAGCTGGTCACCAAAGGCTGGTGGTAAAAATGGTGCACAGACTCAATCAGGAAGTTTTATGTCCCTCAGAGTCTCAATACTTTCCTTTCCTTCAGTGATATGCTTTCTTGAGGCTTGGTGGACCTGAGCTGTGATCTTGACAGACAAACAGGAATCCAGAGGCACAAAATCTGGTCTCCAACAAGGTGGTAGCTATTTGGAAGTACTTAAAGTCCAGATTGATGTAGAAACTGACAGGCCATAGTCAAGTGCTTGAAGTTCAAATACTCACTTCTCCATCTATCTCTGGCAGAATCCAAGGACCAGTCTCCCACCCACACTGAGAATGGTAAGTAGAGCTCTCATGGGCGGTGGGTACAGAAATAGTGAGATCATTATGGGGTGGTGAAGCCTTCTCTGAAGTTCATAAATTGAAAGTACTAGACCCGCTCCCCACTTAGATAATCTGTTCCTCACATAGTCATGGCCTCAATATATCTCTCTAACTAGATCCCATATCCTTGTTAACACCAACCTCTGATTTACTGGAGTCTTGAATTCCCTAATGGAGTTTCTTCCTAGCCTCTAGATTCCTGGACAAGTTTTATTGTATAGTGAAGGGAAATCAAGATGGTCTTTTGAGATCCAGACTTGAGGAAAATCACCTTCTCAGAGTCTTTACCTTGATTTCTGCAAGTATAAAGGAAAGCGTTGTCCCAGACCTTCAATTTACTTCCTGTGCTGTCCTTGGCTGTGACCTCCTGAATGAGCAGGAGTCTCATCCATCAGACACCAGTTTTGGAATGACCATGTCCCCTGTGCCACAAGAATGGAGACACACTACACTACATTGGAAAAGACTCATAGTTGGGGCTTGATATTCTGAAACTTTCTTTCTAGAACAAGTACCTCATCCTTTGTAGTAAGGACAAGGCTGAAAGTCAGATGTTGGGTTCAAACCCCAGCTCTTTTAATCCTTCTATCTGGGTAATGGAAACAATTCCATGTTGCATGATTCTGAGGACAGAGGCTATGAGTGGGCTGGGCATACAATAGGTGCCTGGGTAAATAACATCTTTTCTTCATGCACGATGCCAACTGTGCCTAAGGATTGGGAAGATACCAGAAGGTTCTGATTGGAGTCTTGGTCAGCCTCCTCCTGCTTTTCTTCCTCCTTATTCTTCTCATCCTCTTCCGATATCAGTGTAAAGGCAAAGAGAAGAAGGCAGGTAAGTAGGGTAAGAGTGACTTGGGAGTATGGATGTGGTGGGTAAATAAAACATGTAGCCTCCAGCTCTGTGAAAATTTCAAATATTTTGTAAGGTTTTCCATCTCCGGCAGTATTTGTATACTTACAGCATGTTTTTTACATTCCATTTCTTCCTCTGAAATTTTCTATTGGTGGAGCCTTCCCATCCAACTAGCTTATACTTTTTCAGTTCATGCAGACCAAAGGGAGACCAACTTGCAACTTCTTGAAGGGGATACAGACCCAACAGCCAGAGAGAGACTCCCTCAGAAGAGGTAACTCCTGCCCAGAGACCCAGACTCCCACCTGCCACAGACCTCACTGCTATCTGATAATCCCTGTCTCCTCAGATCCAGCCCAGATGCCGCCATCAAGGAAGAAAACCAGTGTGAGAATAAGGGGTCCTTGGGGAGGGAGATGCTCTAAATGTCAACATCACAAGACTGATAGGAAGGGTCTGGGGTCAACACTCTGAGGGACTGAACTTTCACAATGAACCCAGAGATTTCATCACACTCCCTGGTACTCTGTCTCCTTGTGGGACAAGGGCATGGGTCTAGGAGACTGAGAGATTCCATAGCCAAGAGATGACTCCTTTGTTCTAACATGACAGATGCTTCTGTGATGGACCCACAACCTGAGGAGAGTGTAGAGCTGGACAGTTGGGTAAGACTGCTGCCCCATTCACAGTGACAAGAGCTTATGGCCCAATTTTTGTCTAGCACTCCTTCTTTGTGCCAGAATCAGCCACAGCTGATCCCTTCTTTCTGGAAGAATTTGCCTCTATGAACTACGATCTCTTCTTCTTTGTTTCACTATGACTATGTGACCCTTCTCTCCTGTCTCATTTCTGGATGTGTGTCATCTGTCTGTTACTTAGCATGTGTCTAAAGACTCAAAAGGACATATGAGTCACTGAGCCCTCATTTCTCAAGATCCTCATTTACTCATTCACCCTGTCATCCACAGAGAGCTTCTTTTTTTTAAGCTTGAGAACAATTTTATTAGTGTTTAAAAGAAAAAAACAACAAAGGTAACCTGTAAATCTCAGGATCTATCTGGAGGAAAAAAGAAAATAGAGAAGAGAAATGAAGGGAAAGCCATGTCTGAGTAGAGCCAAGATAAAGATCAACTAGGTGATTTCTGGTGGCCACAAGGCAGGGAGGGAAGCTTTAGAGAAAGAGCAAGAAATCCCAAAGTGTTAGGAAATGTGTACTTAGAACAGATATACAAAGAAAAAATGGAAGCATTATGCACTAACTCAGAAAAGTAGGCACATTTACAAAAGTAAGGCTTACAGCACTATAAGCTACCACATAGAGCATCTTCTTGTTATAGCTTTCCTTAAGGGCTGCAAACACATCAAGGAACACAATTCCTCACCCACTCTAAGCTCACCTGAAGGCTAGGAAATGAGATGTGTATAACTGAAGAATGACTGTGGTGTGGTGTGCTATTAGGAAAAATGAAGCAGAGAAAATGGACATACTGTGAGGCACACAGGGCCAGTGTGAATCCCAAAGGAAGATCCCAAAGGAAGACTCTTACTAGGTATATTCTGAGGTGATACCTGAAAAAGTCCACCCAGACACCTAATTAACCAGCAAAAACAGGCAGAAAATACAGAAGGTTCAAAGGTCCTCAGACAGGAAGATGAGAATGTTGCTGGATCTGAGAAAACAGGAGTTAGTGTGAGGATAACAGGCCAGAACTATGGGAAGGACACTTGCAGACTCCCCAAGGTCTCAGGGAGCCTATGAAGACTCTATTAGTAATGATATGATGTGAATTAAATGTCTAAAGGCTCTCTCTGTCTAAAGAAGATCCTGAATGGAACTAGAAGTCACTTTATCCATCTCATTGCCTCCTTGCTGCAGAACCCACCTGATGAAGAACCCCAGAGAATTGTTTATGCCCAGGTGAAACCCTCCATGCTTTATAAAGCAGGGATTACCTCTTCTTTCCCACTGTCAGAAAAAGTACTGGACATGAAGAATAATCAATCAGGAGAGAACAGAGAGATGTACCCTCAGGTAGGTTCTGTTCACCTAGCTCCAGAAGTTGCCAATGCCAAGCACATACCTTCCTCCAACTCTGTCCCACTCCAGGCTACTACATCCAAGAAGCCTCAGGATGTGACCTATGCCCAGTTATGTAGAAGGACACTGGAACAGGACAACAGCTGCAAAAAGTAAGAAGCCATAACAGAAAGAAGACTCTGACCCCACATTCTGTGGACAGAAACTAGGGACATCTGAGATAATATTTGTCTCTAGTGCACTCTGTATAACGAACGTCAGCCATCATGCATACCACATGTATCATCAGGAGACTCTCAGAACTTGACCCTCTTGATTCTTTGGTCAGAGATAACCAATGTCCTTACATTTTGCAAATAGAGCTAAATCCTTCTCAATAAGCAATTAGTGAAATGAGAAAAAATGAAGTGAGAAATTGTTGTGAATTGAATGACAATGTAACCAGGACACATTGGTCTATGAAACTTGAACTTTCAGAACCATGAATAAATACAGAAGCAAAAAAAAGTCTACAAAATCAATGGCCTTATATATTATAATGAGAATACAGAATGTTAAAACCAGGCTATCCCAGATGAAAGCATGGGGGTGGAAATGGCAATTTAAGAGAAACCACTGGCCCTGCGTGATGGCCACTCATCCTAGATAATCAGGAGGCACCAATAGAAGACCTTATCTACCACTTTTGAAGCCTTTGGATTCATTCCCAGCACAGACAGAGACAGAGACAAAGGGAAGACAAGTAGTGGGAGAGGGAGGGAATTTCTGGTACTACTTATATACTCTAAGATGTGTGGTCTTCAAATGGAGTGTGGTCAAATTATCAGGACTTACATCCTTAAAGAAAACCAACTTCCCCTCTCCCAGAAGTCATCAAATGCCAACAGCTTCTCAGTTAGGGGTGAAATTTTTGATCATTCCCTCTCCATGCTGGGATTTGGTTTGGCTTGAGCTTGTGCGGGTCTTTGCATGTTGCTGTAACCACTGTGAGCTCAAAACTGCATCTGCCCTGCTATGTCTGGAAAACACTATTTCCTTGCAGTCATCCACTGTCTTTGGCTCTTACATCTTTCTATTTCCTCTTCTACAATGATCCCTGTCCCATGGGTTGTGGGGGTGTGACTTTTCTGCCCCTAGCAGGTATCAACTGCCAACAGCTCCTTGGCTAGATCTGAGGCCTTATGAGTCCCTTTGCTCTCCATGCTAGAGTCCTGACTGGCTTCACCTCCTGCAGGTCTTAGGCCAGGGGCTTACAGCTACTGTGAGGTAATGGATGACATATCCCAGTTAGATCCAATAGACACTATTTCACATCACAGAATCATTGGCAGTCCTGTAACTGTTACAAGCCTCCCTTGTCTTCCACAATATTTTTTCATGTGTATATGTATAGGAATATACATACATGTTCCAAAATATAGCATGCTCAGTCCATATGTTACCTGTATGAATGTTTTCAGGCCTGACCATTAGGTATTAGATAACCAATTGGTGTGCTTTCCCCTGAAGTAGACTATTTCTCCCTCTCTCAACATTCCTCAATTGCCTACAGTTGTGTGTGTGTGTGTGTGTGTGTGTGTGTGTGTGTGTGTGTGTGTGTCTGTGTCTGTGTGTCTGTGTGTCTGTGTGTCCAGGGATGAGTCCTCATGGGCTTTTCTCCAACTACTTTGTTCAAGGAATGTTTGGGAAATCATGTTAGTGAGACTTTGTAGGTACACATGCTGACATTATTGGAGGCACAATCTCACAGGAAATACACTGATCTTGCTCATACAATATTTCCACCTCCCTTCTTCAATATTCCATGAGCCATAGGTGTACAGAAAATGATCAAAATTGGAAATGTTTCATTGCCTTTGGTTGTGTACCTACTGGTTACTTCACCACACTAAAATCCAGTAAACATACATATGGTCATGGTTAAATTGAGTGAATCACAACAAAATCAAAAGTTATGAATATGGAAAATGACTTTTAGGAATGATGGTCCAAAGAAAGTTCAACAAGAAAATCCTGTCACATTTAGTGCCCAATGCAGGGCACCAAATTTGGTTGGACTTTGTTTGGCCCACCAGCCCCCAAATAATGACACAGAGACTTCTTATTAATTATGAAAGCTCAGCCTTTAGCTTAGGCTTGTATCAACTAGCTCTTATAATGTAAATTAACCTGTTTCTATTAATCTATATTCTGCCATGTCACTATTTACCTCTCCTCCATTCTGTATGTCTGACTCCCTCTTGGTGGCATCTCCTACGTGCCTAGATTCATCCACCTGAGTTCCATGCTCTGCCCAGAAGTCTGGCCTAACCCCTCTTGTCTAGCTACTGGCTGTTCAGCATTTTATTAAGCCAATCACAGTGACACATCTTCACACAGCATGATAAAATATCCTACAACAGTTCCACCCTTTGTCTAAACAAAAAAGAAAGGTTTTAACTCTTAGTACAGTAAAACTGTATACAGTAAGAAGAATTATCAGTCAACAAGAACAACTTCTTTGTACCAGAGGAATCCAGTCTATTCCTTGGCTCTTAAAAAGAAATTTATATTGCACAGGAGTCACTCATATGCACTATACACAAATAGTAGGAGACAAAATAAAATTCACCCAGACTCATATTCATTGAACTTCTCTTGATATTTCCATCAATAGTGTTTAGTTATCACATAGTTTGTGATTAAAATGGATTTATATTTCTCCTAATTTGAGTCCATCTTTAATCACATCATTCTATCTGGTAAACCACTGTCTTTGGAAATGCTACTTATACTACCCTTCCTATGGGTTATAAAGGTTTATGTGGAAATAGGCTACATCATATACCTATTGTTCAGTAATCTCTGCAATCAATCAATAGAATTAAGAGATTACTCCCTTAAACTTGTACTGATTATTTGCACCTATTTGATCCTTTAGTGGTTGCAGCTACAATATCTTTTTTACTACCAATCCAAGGAATGGTTACTGGAATACAAAGAAAGTTCCCAAAGATAATGCCTGTATAACTAGTAAAACTGCTCGTATTACAGCAAAATAACAGCAGAAATTTATCAAGAGATGATAAATGGAGGGCCACAATAGAAATAAATGAATCTGTACTTGTTACTCAAGTATAATCTTGATTGTCAACAACTTCCTCTCATGTGTTACTTTAATGTGTCAGATTTTCATCATTATATTTATGGTAAAAATAAAGATTTGTGGAAAGAGAGACAAAATCTCTCAAGGGACCTTTGAGTGGTCATTATGGTCTTTCCTCTGTTTTGGTCCTATGTTAGATAGTCTTATAATTCTCTTGTGCTTCCTTGTATTTATGGGACTAACCATTAGGGCAGTGCATTCAAACTTGGCCTCTATTACCCACCAGTTTTCTTTTAAAAAATAGAAAGGAGGGGATATTGGGAGCACAAAGGTACTTGGGCCCATAGATCAATAGGGAAATTAAGAATGTTAAGCATGCAAGGTTGTCTTTTCAAAGAAAAAGTTGTATTAACCTGTTTTTCCATTCAGAATACTGGGAATTGGAGGTGATTAATATCCTGGTGGTCTGTGTTATCAGAAGGGTGAGGCCATTTCAAGCTCCCACAAGCACGACTGAAGATACACACTAATAGAGATGGACCTTGCAATTATCTGTATAGGCATGGTTCCCCCAAGCTCCCACAACTAGGATAAGAGGTGGCTAATAGTCTATTCATTTTCTGTATGCCTGAAACCATGCCAGATCCTTCCCTAGGCCATTATGCTAATACATCTAACCTATCTCTAGAGCCCATCCTCCTGTAAGAAATGACAGGTCCTTTAAGCTGATTTTCAATATTATTACATCTCAGTGTAGACTGGGTATTGTATTATATCAGGAGACATTTCCACAAATTAACTGTGTCTAAATATACTTACAATAAACTACTTGGTGTTTACTTGGGTAACTAAGTAATTCTGAACTGGGTTTCTTTGTTACCTTATGTGGTTTGTTTTTCTGCCAGCCATAGTGTTTTCAGGCATCCCCACAACTGTATAAAACTTTTCCGTGGCCCATGACCCTTGAAAGTATCTCTCTGTAGCATTATTGGAAGTAACTTGGATTGAAGAGACTCCAAATAAAATTCCACCTTCAGGATGCCCTTAGTTCCTAGGACCTTAACTCTTGAGAGGTTCACACAGGAAGATCACAATTTGGAGGCTACCTAGCAATCTCCCTTTTCAAAACAAACAGACAGACAATAAACAAATATTCATCTCATAATCCAGGCATGAAAATGTAAAAGAGAACATATGTGATAGTATCCTAGTTGGTTTTGTCAACATGACACAAGCTATAGTCATTTGAGAAGTGGAACTCTCAACTGAGAAATTGGCTCCACAGTTTCATTGGCTCCAATGAATTAGTCTTTGGGCAATTCTGTTGGGTATTTTCTTGACTCATGGTTGATGTGGGAAAATCTAGTTCACTGTTGGTGGTGCCCCGCTGGATCAGGTCCTCTAAGTTGTATAAGAAAAAATGCTATGAAACCATGGGGAGCAATCCCGTATGTGGTGAACCTCCATGGAATCTACTTAATTTCCTGACTCCAGGTTCCTGCTTGGATTCCCTCACTGGACTGTCATCTGGTATACATAAATGATTGAAGCCAACATCTGTCACTCCCCATTGCTTTTGGTCATGGGGTTTTATCACAGCAATAGAAACCATATTTTAGGATTGTTATTGTGTACATAGGTTGTGTGACTCTTTCTGGGGAGAAACAAGCAAGCACCTGCTGATCTCACATAGGGCACCAATGGCAGATCCAATAAATGATCCAGCCAGATCTATTTTACTGAAATGATGGATTTATTAGGATTACTTGAGGAATCATGGAGGAAGGGTAATTATGGGAACATGGGTGAGTCAAAAGTGGCTGCATTACCAAAAGCCCAAAGTAGCATGTGTGATGACTCATGAAAGCTGCATCCCTGGAGCTCCCTATACAACTTATAGGACACTTGGCTAATTGAAGGGTCTCATCTCCTCAGCTATTGTTATTACTCATTTAACTTTGGAGGGCCCTTGTGAATCTGTGAATCTTGTATGCTTCAGGACATTCCTGAGAATTCTGAGGTTTTCTTTTCTCCCTCAGTCTGAATAATTCCACTTCCAAAAGATAATGTTTCGATTCAGAGGAACTAACTATTCAGCAGCATAGTAATGGAATGACATGAGAAACAGCATGTACCTTACTTCTGCCAGATCTGAGAAAGCATTATAATTGATGGGAAGTCTACAGTGAAATATTAAAGACATATATACATGTTTCTGATGAGAGAAGACTTTGACAAACAGCATTTGAGTTACAAAGACAGCATATTTTAAGGTCCTGTGTCTAGAAGATATCAGCTGGAGTGGAAGAAAGTCAGGATAGTTGGGTGGGAATATGATCAAAATACATATCCACAAAAGAAATTGTCATGAGACCCATTATTTTGTATAACATCATTAAATATTATTAACATATACCAATAAAATGAGTGAATCTTTTGTTTATATAGAATTTTGAGATACTCAACATAGTTGCCTCTTCAAGAAGGTCTAGAGTGTACAACCAGTTAGATTGCGGAGGTCCCTAGGAATGAAATGAAGTAGAGACTCATGCTCAAAACCAGTACGTGCTTCAGCCAGACAAAATCTCATCAGCCCTTCCCTAGAGAGATGAGACATGCCAAACTGATGCTCAGAGATGCAGGACAATGTCATATTTTCTCCTAACAACACCACAGGGGAGGGGCCATCAGGTCTGGCAGAAGAGGCTTCTTGTGTAAATCTGGAAGAAAAAAGGCAGAGACAGGAAGCAGTTCCTTACCAGTGTTCATTCAGTCCTCAGGGTTCATACTTATAGCTTAGAGGTAATTTAGGCTATGAGTCACCTCTGGTTCTGGTTGCAGGAGTGTGGGGGTGCTTCTAGCTCTATAAATAATTTAAGGGTCATCTAGATTCTTAAGTATCCCTGGTCTTGATTGTGAGAGCTTGATATAGCCTGGCCCTTTAGAAATCACAAACCATCAGGCTATTTATCATCCCCAGTACCCAGCCTTCTGGGTGAAAACCAGGTCTTATATCTTTTCTTTAAAAATACAACCATGCAGGCTTACTATTGTAGGTTTCCTTAGTCATCTGTGGGCTCAAGTACCTTTGTGCCCCCAACATGCAGTCACAAGGAAAAATTAAATGGAATATTTGCAGGAAAATTGAAGCAACTGGAAATCATTATGTTTAGCAAAATAAGAGAGACACAGAAAGCTAAATACTGCATATTTTTATGCATGGAAGCTAGATTTAAGAATATGTTTGTACATTTTTAATCTTTCATTAACTTTTTAGGTTACCATACAAAGCATGGTGTTTCATTATGGTGTCTATATACATATGTGTCACATCATGAGTTTGTTTGTGTGTAGGGGTGTGTGAAAGAGACAGAGAGATTAAACAAAAAAATCACGAAAATAAAGAGATCTTAATAAATTTTTCTTAATTTCATAAGCATACATGGGTATTTTGATCATATTCAACACTCACTCTAACTCCTCCCACATTCAACAGTGGGGGTCCCTGATACTCATCCTCCCTCAGTGCTGGAATGTTGACTGTCTTGATCTTGTGTAGGTCTTATGCAGGCAAGTACAGCTGCCGTGAGCTCAGGAATGCTGAGGTCCTGTCATGTCCAGAGGCATCATTTTACTTTTGTCTTCCTAAATCTCTGGCTCTTATACTTATTGATGCCATATCTTTTATTTGTATCTCTGAAGCTTGCAGGGGTGGGTGTGATATAGAGAGGAAGGGAGCTTAAGGAGGGTGGAGAATAAAGGATAGTGGATAACAGAATCCATGTAATAGGAAAGCAGAAGAGAGAACCAAAAAGGAGAAGAAAGAAAAGCACCAGGATGAGGGGAGGCTGTGATCTAAAGTCTTCCAAGAAAAAAATTTAGTCATTTCTCCTCAACTTTAGCCCACATGGTCTAAACCACTATATAGAGACAAACAGCCTTCTTGGAACATCTATATCAACCCCTTCAAAGACTCAGAGAACATCATGAAAGATAGGGCATTAAAAAGATCCAAACATCCAGAATATTTGAGAGTAGTTGTGAAACCTTGGCCTCTGTTCATGGCATAGCTATTAAAAACACAAACTTCATAGCAGCTGTGGTTACCTCAATAATAATAAATAAATAAATAAATAAATAAATAAATAAATAAACTCAATTAACTCCATGGTGTGTTAACTTCTTGGCCTTCATGTATGTAATAAACAGTAGTGTATCTGAAACAAGTGGGAAAACTCATTTATAAATATTTTATGCAATATTAAATAGTAGCATTATCTTGATTTTTGTGCCAGTACGATCTTTAGTTTTCCTTTTCAACTTGCCACATTCTAGATGTACTTCAAAACAGTGTCTAAAAGAGAGTGTATAAATCAGAGAAATTTGCCTATGGACATATCTGGAGAAATTTTTTTCCTGTTTAGTTTAATTGGGGTGAGAATCTGATTACTATTTAGGGAGTTGGAGCCATTACCTAGGCAGGATATTCTGAACTGTTCAAGAGTTAAGAAGGTAAGTTGAGCATATGCATGCATCCTTGATTTCTGCTTTCTAACTATGGGTGCATTGTAACCAATTGTCTGTTTCCTGACATATAGATATGATAAGATGAAAGGGTAGATTAATGAACCTACTTTTAAAGAGCAACAACTTGTTTAAAATGTTTTACATTGCTATGGATTTTAGTTTATTGATACAGGTTTAAACTTAATTTTGTTATACTGTATATATATATTTCTATTCTCATTTGAGATATTATGTTTATGTAACTAATTTAGATTGTAATGGGTAATTAAGAAATACAGATTAATAATTAGTCTTCTATGATAGTCAAACTTGCAGCATGTTAGTTTAGTTTTCTAGGTATGTATCAATATATTTCAGACAGATGGGTAGTCTTCAAACACTTCAAAGACCTATAGAATATGGCATTTAAAATATTTTTAAAAATTTAGACTTTCTGGACAATGAGACATGTCTGCTCCTGGCAGCACTGATTTACTTCAGAGAGGAGGATGGGCATCGAAGACACTCCATATGGAGTTTATCTTCACCTTGACAAAAATAGCCATTTGGACAAGAAACTGTTCTTGCCTGGACTGCTTGATCAACTGGACATGCAGAACCCATAGGAAGATGACCACTGAAC